GGCACATGTTCCCTCAAGGGCCAGCCACACAAATCACAAAGGGATGCAAATAAGTGAGGCTGTTATTATTCTAGGGATAACCTTGAAGTGCTGACATTTTAAAAAGTAAACCTATTGCAAGCACCAGTAGTTAACTCTTACTAGTAACAGAAGTACTTGAGTGTAACTCATTCCTGAGTTCACTTTGTCAGGAAATAGAGTGGAGAAATATTCCTTAGCCATTGCAGGGAGCCACTTGAGCAAGGGTCAAGATCCAGCAGGCATTAATGCCAGCCTGGCAGTGAAGGTGACAAAGAGACAGTGCCAGTTTACAAGACAAACTGTTCCCACCAAACCCAGCCACCATAGCGTATAACCCTTGCCTGTCCTGATTTTTAAGACTGGGCAGAGTCCCGAGAGGAAAGCCCTGTTCCCATTCCAGAAGATTGCGTGTTTAGACAAGAGAACTGTGGGATTTTGAACAAATAAAGTGATTCCTCCAAACCCTCCCATGAACACACATAGCCCTGCAGATATGACAAAGTCAAGGAAGGATGCACTTAATTGTGGCAATGAAAAAAATAAATAAAACTGCCCAAATGGGCAAACACAAAGCTCGAGTCCAAACTTCTCCGGCTGAGAACGTGGTTACAGTGCTAAGGCTCCTGGGACCCACCTTGGCGGCTTTCCAAGAGCTATTAGTTTGCATTAACACACAGTAAAAGAAGGTCTGATAAATTAAAAGTGAGATAATTTAGGAGGACATCTTTATACCCAGCACCAGCCCAGTGCATGGCACCTGGCAGATGCTAGATAAATGCTCATCAGCAGCCAGCATCAGTCACAACTGTGAATGTTGACACAGGATGTAAAACATGTATAGGGATATGGCTTAGATTAGAGACTTTAAGGGTTGGAGAGATCATTACTTAATTTCAAAGAGAAATTTGAAAGTGTAGCCATCTTCTGGCTACTAAGAGTGACTCTATACTTCAAAGCAATTATTAACTTTAAAGGCAGCCTGGTAAAACCTGCACTGACAAGTCCCAAATGCTTATTTATTTCTCACCCTATCTTCTCAATTGTCACCCAGATAGCAATCCCCCCATATAAAATTATTTCCTCCCTTTTCTCAAGTATCATCTGAATTATAGCAGTCAAAACTACCCATCAACCTGTTCATCTGACACCAGGACCCTTCCCCAAACTTTGAAATTCACCACAGGAAACCCCCAGAGACAAAGCTAACAGCACACACTTTCCTGAGGCCTATTATAACAGCATCAACACAGAATGCCACTCCCAACCACTCCTCCTCCATGCCTCCTAGGGCCAGGAGCCCACGACACATAACGAGGAAGGAAGACAATGAGTTCCTACTGTGCTTAAAGCCTCTTGAGAAAGAGCAGAGCAGCCATCTGTCTGTATGACGGGAAGGAGAGGACATAAACTTTCCAACCCAGATCTTACAGATGACTGCTCTTTGCAGTTTTCTACACATCTCTGCAGGGTACACTAGTCACTGCCTGTCCCCTGCCAAAATTAATCCAGGGATGTCTCTGTAGTGCCTTAGATCCTGGGACACATGGAACATTAGGGAAAAGTTGTGTCAAATGTCAGAGTGATACCTAGAACGGTTCCTGGGAACTCCTACTTCCAAAGGCCTCCCCGTCAGCTAGGGTCACAGGGGATTCTAGCATTTCAATGCTTTTGGAGGATGGCTGCGCAGAAGGTGGCTTGGTTATTTTAAAACTAAGAAAATTGAATGGGATGAGAGATTATGTGAATGCCTGTGATTTCCTGAGGTCCCTTCCAGCTTCCAGATTCTACCAAAGAACACGGCATATGCATGTACATACACACACACCTCTTTATAAAAATGTATACAGATGAGGGAATATATATAAATGAGTACTATATTCACACTTCCAAACACAAAGCACTTGAAATGCACACTGCTGAGGAGATCAAAAAGCCCATGAGCTGCTCTGCAGCAGCAGCTGGAGCACACAGTTGCCACCAGCAGATCGGGGCAGAACTCCCCACGCCTCCTGCCATTGCAGTTCACCTTAAAACCAACTGGTGGCTGCTTGTGTAGGTGCAAACCCTGCAAAGCTCCAAAGCAGGACTGCAGATTCCTTTCACCGAATGACTCCAGTCACGAGTGTCCTAGAGTGAAGAAGGCAGGGTGAAACAAAGGAGGAGATGAAAGAAAAAGCCCAAACCCTATACCCAGGCAGAGCCACCCCAGCAGAGGCAGATGCCAGACAGAGCAACTTCCTTCTCCTCTTCTCCCAGCCCCTACAAAGGGTGAAACAGTCACCCTCTTGCCCCTCCTCCATCACCTTGCTTTTCAGGGCCTCTCCAAGTAAGGCTGACGACATGGGCATTTAAATGAGCATTTAAAAGCAGGGTGATGGAGGAGGGCAAGAGGAAAAAACTAAACTGGAAAAAACTAAAAAGCTCTCTAGAAAAGAGAGCTTTGCTCTAAGCCGGGCACGGTGGGTCACGCCTATAATTCCAGCACTTTGGAAAGCCGAGGCAGGTGGATCACCGGAGGTCAGGAGTTCGCGACCAGCCTGACCAATAGGGTGAAACCCCGTCTCTACTAAAAATGAAAAATTAGCCAGGCATGGTGACAGGCGCCTGAAATCCCAGCTACTTGGGGGGCTGAGGCAAGAGAATCGCTTGAACCCGGGAAGCTGAGGATGCAGTGAGCTGAGAACGCGCCATTGCACTCCAGCCTGGGCAACAAGAGCAAAACCCCATCTTAAAAAAAAAAAAAAAAAGACAAGAGAGCTTTGCTCTAATCTTAACTGCCAAATAAATCTGAGGATGCCCATCTCAGCCCTGAACAATAGCAACAAAAATAATTTATAGGAAAGAAGTGGGGACGGGGGGAGGGGGGTGAAAATTCATTCACGACAGATCTCAGATGCTTTGCCCTTCATGAAAAAATGTTCAGTGATTTTCTCGGATCAGACAAGGGAGTTCTGATGCAGCCGCAAGGCTTAGGATGTTCATTCATGACACAGAGATTAACACTGGGGAGTCTCTTGGAGTAAAAACCAAGTTGATCAGGTCCTGACAATAAACTGGGGGGTGGGCGGTCAGTTCAACGACCTAGCTTCCCACTCGCATCTCTTTAGAATGAGGTGCTACCTCTAACACTTGGGTCTGGGTGTGTTTACAAGTGCGATGTTGCCATCCACCCGAACCCCACAGAAACCCGAGTTTGCCCCTTTCCAACTTCACAGACCTAGAAGTACCCAACCTCCCCTAACTGGGCCGCCAGAGCCAGGTGCAGATAGCGGCGGCCACCCGGGGCCAGGCCTGGCAGTGGGTCCCAGGAGGGCCGGGCCCTAGACCGAATCCATCCACATCACCCGGTTCCCTCAGCCCTGAGGAGCCGAGCACCCATCAGCGCTCCAAACGCCTCAGGACAATGCAAGCGCCACCCCCTTCCCTCTTCGGCTCTTCCGCGCGGCGGCTACAAAACCGCGGCTTTGTGTGTGACCGCAAGTGTGTGCGCGAGCGTCCCTGGGCTCACACACCCCCTTGCACCCCGCCTGCTCGCCGCGCCAGGTCCGGGCACCAAGAGGGCGCACAGCGCGCAGGTCCACCAGGCTGAGAGTCGCGCTCCAGGCCTCTGGCCACCCCGCCACTGGGAGCAGGGGCTAACACCCACGCCCCCAATCCCGGCTGCGGGGGCAGCGGGGGAGAGCAAAGCGCGGAGCTCAACTGAGGCGAGGCAGGGGCCAGGGGCGCAGAGGAGCCACAGGCGAGAGCGGCGCCCACGACTCTCTAGCCCAGCCGCCCCCAACTTTGCGAGCCGAGGGCCAGGAGTGGGCCAGGAGGGGGCCGGGGCGGCTCACGACTCGGCAGGAAGTTCCCAGGACCGCACTGAGCATGCTCTCGGGGAGTGTGTGCGCGGGTGTGGGCTCTGCGCTCCCTGCAGCCTCCCAGAC